TTAACTTAACTTACGTTACGTAGTAGTAGTACGTAGTAGTACGTACGTACGTATACGTATATATATATATATATATATATATATATATATATATATGTCGTGTGTGTGTGTGTGTGTGTGTGTGTGTGTGTGTGTGTATGTATATGTATATGTATATGTATATGTATATATATATTTGTGTGTGTGTGTGTGTGTGTCTATATGTATGTGTATGCATGTATGCATGCTAGTATGTATGTTTTTAGGTGCATACACATATACTTAATTTGTATTTATATCTATATATATATATATGTGTGTGTGTGTGTGTGTGTGTGTGTAGTCTGTATATTCTGTATATATGCTTGCGTTTGTGTCTGTATAAAGGCATGCATTTTCGTATGCACGCGTGTAGCCTGCATTTTCAAGTATACATGTTTGTTTGTGTGTATGTGGACCCATGTGTTGTTAATATGCACTTATTTACTTTATTTCGTGAGAGTGAATTCTTGAATGTGATTATATATACGAAAAATGAGTACTTGATTTTTACTTCTATTGTGCGCTTTGTTATTCATACTTACTCGGATATTTGTGGGTGCATTGTTAGTGTTCAGGGTAATCGTTCAGGAGTTAGTATGTATGTGTTAAGTATATTCCCTTATAGGCTTAGCAACACGGTTCTCATGTGCAGGGATGTAGTTTTTTTCGTTCGGACAATGTATGTCCATTGAGTTCGTATTTCCAGCACTCGAACTGGTGGCTTTCGAGACATGTTATGCGACTACGGCATCCGAATATTAGCGAGTATCAGCGCTATTTTGCAAATCCCTTGTCATCAATGCTGTAGACATACGATACACGGGAAAATGGTTTCCTTTCACAACCTCTATGTATATTTTTTCACATGTTTAGGTTCAACCCAGCTGTCATGACCTGTTTGTATGTGGAACGATCATTTGGACCTTTTTCGGGTTTGGAAAATTTCCGAAATGCGGTGTAGCCTTCACAGCTGTAAATATGCTTGTTAAGCCATACAGTGGGTCTATTTTGCAATCGCATATGTAAAGCCATATAGTGGGTCTATTTTGCAATCGCATATGTATAGCCATACAGTGGGTCTATTTTGCAATCGCATATGTAAAGCCATATAGTGGGTCTATTTACAATCGCATATGTAAAGCCATATAGTGGGTCTATTTTGCAATCGCTTATGTAGCGCTGCCGCCTACTCACACGCTCGGCAATTGTGTTTGCTTGTGCCTTACCTTCGCTTGAATATAATTCTATGTTAGATCGTCGATCCCTATGGCGATATGATGGAGGAGAAATGGGAAAGCTACGCCACCACCTTAGCCAACGCCCCCAACGGCGAGCTAGCAGCCACACTTCAGGACATTGCTAAGGCACTTGACCTCAATCTAGAAGGTATGTGGGTGGTTTGAGAAGATCACAGAGTGTGTTTTGTATTGACATCGAGGGTATGCTTGAACCCAGGTCTCTGATTTTTCTGTCTAAACTTGCACCCCTTCCCACCAGACATTTCCAAGGCCAAGGTGATTTACGGATACGATACCAGGCCCAGTTGTCCAGAGTTGGTAGCATCCCTGGTGGATGGCTTCAATGCGATTGGAGTGGAAGTTTGCAAGGTATGTAGTGTGAGCTACACCTAACGCACTCACTATCACCTATATCTACCCCATGATCGCGCGGACATTGTATTTGATTCAAGTTGAGCATATACTCATATTCGTGTCCTTCTGTATATACGGAGAGTCGAAGTACTCGCAGGTCCTGGTGTGTAAGTTGGCGTGCATGTGAATAGGGGCTGTCCACATACTCCTTATTGGCATGCTGTATATCAATCACAATTCACCGGGTCATGACTCCTAGATTTTTATCTTTCGCTTGTACGGTCTGGGATGTCGCCAATACTACAATGGCAAATATACATTGCCTTATAATCAAACTTAGCGTGAATTTTGCGGTAGGCTGTCTGTATAGCTCCTGCCTCTATGCTATTTACTGGCTAGCATACTACAGAATTTCCACCATTGTATGGACAAGTTTGGCTCACAGAACAAAGATGTGATCGTACACCTCGATTACATATTCACCATCTCATACAGTGGTTGGTGTGGACGTTGCCATAGTCTGTGCCTCGCTTTACATGCTTTACAATGACATTCAATTCACCGGGTTTTTATTTATTTCTTGACGTTCAGGACCTTGGTGTCGTCACTACACCACAATTACACTTTGTCACTCGCTGTCTGAACGATCCATCATACGGAGAGGCCACTCTCGAGGGATACTACAGAAAGATTGCAGAAGCATTCAAAAAGATTCAGGTATCAAAACGTTTGCTAACTAAACGGTTTTCAGAGTGTTTCATTTATAGGCGCGTTTACCGTTTACTTTTTTGCTGGTTTCCAAATGAGATTTTAGTGACTTAGTCCCTCAGTATATATATGGTACCGTTTAGCCTAGATTATCTTGTTGCGGGCACATTTGACATGCTCAACTAATGTGCGTGTGTATTCGTACCACATCGATGTACTGTACTCTATACTCAAGTCATCATTTTTCTGTTTGTCTCCGCTTCCTTAGGGTCCAGGGAAGGGTCCAGAAGTCGTGCTTGACGGTGCCAACGGTGTGGGCGCACCTCGCACGAATGACTTTAAGAAGTACGTGGGTAAAGCCTTCAATGTCACGATCGTGAACGATGCTTCTCATAAAGATGATGTCTTGAACGATAGTTGTGGTGCCGATTTCGTCAAGGTGCAGCAGAAGGTACGTAAACTCGGCACTCTCCTGGATTACCTGGTGTTGTTTATTTGTTTATTCGTGACCAGTCAATAATAGCTGGGTGCATTCACAAATGTACCATTTTCGAGCCCACCTAGAAGAAATATCACACACCCAATGGCACTGATGTTCTCACAACTTGTGTCAACACCAGGCGCCCAATAACGTGACGCCGACCCACGGCGTCCACTATGTATCGTTTGATGGCGATGCCGATCGCGTTATGTACTACTTCTTCGACAAGGACATGAAGTTCCACATGCTGGATGGTGATAAGATTGCCACCCTCATTGGCGGCTACCTAGCTGAACTCGTAAAGGATGCCGGACATTCGCTGAACTTGGGTGTTGTACAGACCGCTTATGCTAATGGAAGGTAGGATTGGAATTATGAGACCTTTATCGTGCCCTACCCAGTATGTCGATAGGATCAAACCTGATGGCGGTATCAGGTGTTATAGTAGTATCTCGCTCCATGTTTTGATTTCTTTGTACTTTTGTACGCTTGATACCATTCATTTGGTTTACATACGGAAGTCTTGTCTAGGATCTTTCGAATATTAATTCGGACTTCACGTTGCAGCTCGACGGCATACTTGGAGAACGAGATGAAGGTACCAATTGCCTGCACGCCCACGGGTGTCAAACATCTGCATCACGCCGCTAAGGATTTCGATATTGGAGTGTACTTCGAGGCGAATGGTCATGGCACGGTCATCTTCGACTCCAAAGTGGAGAAGAAGATTAGAGACACGGTGTGTTAAGGAGGACTGGTAGTAGGGCACTTGTTGTTGTGTCCTTTTGTAGTTTGTGCTATGGCATGATAGGTTGGCTGACTGGACGGCTATGATCTTTTCAGAGTTCAAAGATCTTTATTTTCCGTGTGAGATTTCGACCTCGATTCATGTTCAATAAGTGTTCTCATGCGGACTGCAATCGCGTACTGCCTTGTAGCGTGATTTCCTGAAAGTGTTTCTATGTGTCTGGTACGAAATATTCAAACCCTGTCTATGCGCATTTCAACGGGTACATTTCGCTTCCAATACGTACCCTTCTAGTATCGTAAGTACTCAAACTTTCACTCGCCCACTCCCCATGTGTGCTGGGGTTTTTTCAGGACGCCTCTAAGCTATCGGCATCTCAGCAGGAAAAGCACGCACTCCTGCTGAATGTGATCGATCTCATTAACCAGACCGTAGGAGACGCACTCTCCGATGCGCTTATGGTCGAGGTAGTACTGAAGCAGAAGAATTGGACCTGTGAAGACTGGGATGCCTGCTACACAGACCTCCCCAACCGACAGCTCAAGGTCAGCGTAAAGGACCGAACTGCCGTGCAGGTCACCAACGCCGAGCGCCAGACCACAGCACCCGCTGGCCTGCAGGAGGCGGTAGATGAGGCTGTGGCGAAGTACTCGAAGGGACGCTCGTTTGTGCGCCCGTCAGGCACTGAGGACGTAGTGCGTGTGTACGCGGAGGCGGAGACTCGTGAGTTGTGCGACCAGTTGGCGTACGAGGTGGCTCAGATCACACACAGAATCGCCGGTGGTATAGGTGAAGCTCCCTCGCAATAAATCGCCTGGGTGTGGAATTGGGCATTGGGATACTGGTACTTCCTGTTCATCGATCATCACACATTAAAAACTTTGAAATACGAATAATTTTGGTAGGATCACAGTAAATGATAATTGTTAATAAAACTGGTTATTGATACCAAATGTCCTCGGCTGTCGAATACATAAAAAAAGCTATTTTGTTTTGTTCACCGCTTGTGTTAAATAAATATTTTGAGCAGCGCTATGTTACTAGTTAAGTGGACATTTCTTCGAGACGACAAGCGTGAGTTTCAATAATTAGCCGTACACCAAAGTTAGCGTTGGCGATTGGGAAAGCATAAGAACGAGTATATACTACTTTTATGTAAATTCAAATAAACGTGACATGTGAAAAGCGGAGAACGCGTGTGGCGAATTGTGTTTAGTGTATTCAGAGGCTAAACGGAGGAGCCTGTATGCAAAAAAAATCGTAACAGCAATATAAATTGCACAAAGTGCACTTTACTGCATTTTAAGTTGCAAGGTTTATTCATCCCACAAACTCGAAAGATAGATCTTCCAAACAGTTTAGCTCGTACCCGGAAGGAGAGTATCAATAAATCGTTACCAAATACAAACGTCATGTTTCTTCCATTGCCAGTGCCATTCTTCAGTTTGACGTAATTGTGCAGCCACTGGCGATAACCTGTTATTGTAATGGAGTGCAAAATCCGAATGTTGTACGAAAATAATACACGTCTAAAACTGGTTTTAGCAAGGATGCATTTGCAGTGTGTAATATCTGTCGGACACATGTGTATTTCGAGGCTGCTGTAATCATATTGTGACATATTTCAGGATGTCACTCGTCAAGAATGCATACAAGTACTATGAGACCTAGACATCTATGATGCACTGTTCTAATGCACGCACGCGTGCAAATTTTTGAAGAAAGCTGGAATTCGGGAAGGATGGCCGCGTCTCGTAATAAAGTGTTGTTCAAATCTTTCATCCATTTTAACAGACGAGCTACTTTACACATAACAACAGTATTTACATAGTCTATTTTAGAATAGTAATTTCGTATATTTTCGAGTGCCACTGACGTCACAGTATAGGCGAAGTTGTAAGTTGTAACCACCACTGCGCACTTTGTCTGGATAGACACACATCAAAGCACCAGGTGGGGTTTATTGTGAAGAAGTAATAGCACACAGCACACATCTCTAAAGGAATGAACTGCGTGTTGCAATTAATACTGCTTTATTATCATTAAGACATTTCGTCCCTATCATGCCAGAAAATGACGGTATGTGCAGATGTTAATATCTGCCATGTACTGCCTACAATATTTGTGATGTTAGCTTCTTTGTGACTTTAGCTTCTCGCGCGTTTTCTGTATCGATCTGTTTTACACCACGCAACACTAGCTCAGCAGCGGAATTTTCTGCTTCTTTCTCTGCTTTTCGAAGTCAAAATCTTATAACCATCTACTAGAGGGGTATATCTGTCTAATGCGGGGCTGATGCACTCTTCGATCATTCGCGAAGGCGGCATGCAGCACTTCCAGCACACGAGGTAGTATTGAGTCTGTTTCGAGGGATCTCGGCTGTTGCCTCATACACTTGCAAGGGTAAATGTGTACTCATAGTATTTACCAAGAACTTCAACAAGTGGCTAACTGACAGTGTTATCAGAATCGGGCAGTATCACAGCATGCAACAAGCCCCGTGTTTGCCTCAGCGCCGGGGTTGCCAGAAACGGGTGGCTGAGTATAGAGAGGAGCTGCACATGCGCAATCTCCTGAGATGTGGCATGCGAGTGCCGTACGATCTCGTCAGCGGCAGTGGCCATTAGGGTGTATTCGGCACAGTATGCGGCATATACTTGACGCCACCATTGCACTGTTGGAATGAAAAAACTCATATGTATGGGTGAAAAGTTCGATTGGACGGGTGAACGAGGGGCGAAGTACATGGGAGATATGAATAAAGGACGCAATCTAGGATACCACATCCATGTCGATCATGGCAGTGACTGTTGCTGCAGTCAACTACCACTGTCGCCACTACGTCAGCAACCCAAGGCGAAATAGATGGCGTTCGCTAAAATAAAAAAGATATCAGCGTAATGCTATCGATAAACACGCAATATATTGATCACCCGAATTGGGCACATACTTACTACCGTAATTTATCTCTGCTGCAAGCGTAAATGCACAGCCCAAAAAGTGAGCAAGCCGCTATAAGAAGAGATTTGGACATCCGTGTATGTCATCACTTGGACCACTGCTATACGATTCCGCCACATCGCTTAGTTAAGAAAAGCAATCTTCGCATTTTAACACGAGTGTATAGTTGTAACAATACAAAAAACGACACTTAATCAACTAACACCTGCCATTCACTTTATCCTTGTCTTGGAACTACAGGAACACATTGGCGCTCGCAACGACTACGGACAACACAAACCGTGCATTTATCCGCAATAGCCGCGTACTAAGACACGATTTAAAGCCCTATTCAATGTATAAAACCGCTGTATACCTACGCTACAATATCTATGCATACATTCGCTATATAACATCAGCGTATACTCGCAAAAGACTACTTACGTATAGCCACAGCAAAATACTTGTATATATTCGCAACAGACCACATACATATATGTTTTCAACAGATTACATACGTATATTCGCAATAGACGCATGATGCAGCTGTGGTATGGGTAGCACCAGCAGATCATCGTTTGCCATCGCGATTGTATTCCGGGCAATTTCTAGATTCTCCAAGTTATTGCGCATGCGTGTGATGGTGGTGGCCTGCAGTAGGGAGCGTAGAAAAAAACGCTTAGGAAATACGTACAGCCGTTTCAAATTAGGTCCTGAGAATTCTGATTTTAATGGATATACACAACAGGCATCCATGCTACACCAGCACCAATTTGTGCAACTCTGAGCATATCGTATATTGAACGCAATTTCTCCGATCATCACCATCGCCACGAAGGCATGTATACAATATCGATATGACGTCCTTGATGCGCTCAGTGACTGGTTTCAAATGTGAAACTGTAAGCTCTGAGTGCGAAATTAACAGCTACTACGAAGTAGAAATTCGAAGCAGTCACAAACAGCACATGGCGACCACCTATCAGCTATGGTGTGTTCCATCTTGTGACTAATACAGCAATGTATGTGTTTAGTGGTTGATATACACCAAAACGATTGCACAGCGCGCCGACATTACCAAGTGCGGGATGAAGGTCGAATTTGGCATGAGGAAGGTCAGCATAAACCCTAAGGACATATGCATGTGCAGAATCAAAACCCCCATCGCCAATACAACTGTAAGCTCGCTTCAATGAGCAAGACATGTGAGAAAAGTGCTTTTCCGATATTTGCCCGTCAAAACATATTGTATCAAATTACCAATTGCTCACATTTGCTGTTCATTTTGTTTCCAATGTCGTGCCGAAGTAGATAGAGACTGCCCGCGGTCTCAATCTCTGCCTCATCGCTCATACCATTCTCTACTTGGCTGTACAATAATGTCATTTGTATACAATTTGGTTTGATTTATGTACCATTTACTTGGTGAAAGAACAGCGCACGTATTTGATGCGGTATATAAATTAAAGCCGCATTCAGATATGCAGCAACTAAACCTCTTAGGGAGGATAGGACTGTGTCAGCAACTAAAAAATGCCACATTTATATCACATGCGTGCAAACGATCACAATCGGTACAAAACACATTCGCGTTCAGACGACAGACAATAACAAACTGGAGTAGTTTATGTGAAAACCAATGCTCGTTTGCAATTACCACCGATACAATTATAGTGAATTTTTCTGTACGTAATCATAAAACTTCCCACAAATCTGTATTTAGTCAACTATCAGGTCAAATACATCTAGGTATAAACAAATACTAACTTCCAATGAGTAATTAGTAGTAATGTAAATATCAACTATATATATATATATATATATATATATATA